ATGAAAGCAGCTTTTTTTTTTTTGCTTCGCCTCTCGTCCCTTTCATTGATGTCTACAAAAAATTTTCACTCTTTTCTTTGTTCATTCACTTTCTCAGCCTTTCTCTCTCTCTCTCTCTTTCTCTTTCTGTGTGTCTCTCACGTATTTCCGACACCTCTGCCGTGTGTCGTGTGTCTATGGCAGTGCTCGCCGTTATCTGTCCCTTGCACATGTGCATTTCCCATATTACTGCTGCTGTTTAGTCGCTGAAGTCATACGAGGAAGAATCGCTTGCGGTCTCATCATCATCATCATCATCATCGTCGTCCTCCTCATCATCCTCATCCTCATCCTCGCTGCTGCTGCTGCTGCCGCCACGACGACGACGCTTCCGCGAACTCTGTTTCTCCTGTTTCTGTTGCGGTTTCCGCTCCACACGCTTTGGCGCCTGCTTTACTGGCAGTGGCTTCTTCTCTTCCGGTTTAGTCACGCCAAGGAGCAACAAGTCATCGTCCCCATCTTCGTCAGTCACTGTGAACCGCCGCGGCGCCGTCACGGCTGCTACTGCTGCTGGGGTGGTGGTGGTGGTGGTGAATGTGGCTGGCGTTGTTTTGGGCGCCGAGTTCATGAGTGCCTCGATGCCGAAGCTGTCGATGTCGAAGTCATCCGTGAGAGTCACCCGTGCGGTCTTCTCCGTCCTGACACGCTTGGCGCCTCCCTCCTGCTTCACCTTCTCCTCCTTCGGCTTGCGGGGCGCCCGTTTTGCGGCAGGCTGCTTTGGCGGGGCCTTCTGCTGCCCGCCATCCTTCTTGTTGCCGCCGCCTCCGCCGGGCCCGTCGTCGCGTTCCACCAGGTCGGTGCTGTCATCATCGGGCTGCCAGTCGCTACCGCCGCTGTTGCCGCCGTCGTCGAAGTCCTCAAAGTCGTCGTCGTCGCCGTCGCTGTCGCTCGACTTCTTCTTCTTGCGTCTTGCTGGGGCTTTGCGTGGAGGTGCGGCACCGCTGTTAGTGGTGCTGTTATCTCCACTGTTGTCTGCCCGAGTGGTGCGCCCGCTCTTCTTCTCCGTCTTGACGGACTCCTTCGCGAGTGCCTGCCGCGCCTTGTCAGAGAGCAGCGGCACACGCAGCCGCCGCGGATCAAACGGCCGTTTCTTCTCCATCTTCTTGCGCTGAATCGACGCAATCTCCTTCGCACGATCCTCGAAGTGCTTCTCGATACGCGGGCGCAGCAGCTTCAGGTCATCCTGCCACAAGTCCTTCGGCGTACGCTTCTCGAGGGCGTTGAGTTCGTCGCGCGCCCTCTGCAGCTGCGCGAGCAGCCGCGCGATCATCTCCGCCGTGAGGCTCCACAGCCGCATCCCCAGCAGGTAGTCGTAGTCCCGCGTGGCGCGCTGCACCTCGGGCGGCTCCACGTCGCCCTCCTGCTCCTCGCGCGGGTCACCGTGCAGCAGCAGCAACTCATCCGCCCCCGCCGTTGCGCGCCCTGCTGTGTCCACGGCGCCCTCATCCTCCTCCTGCTCAACGGTGGTGGAGCTGACCTTCTTTTTCTGCTGCGGCGGGAACGGGGCGTAGCCACGCTGCTGCAGCTCCTCCAGCAGCTCCCGCTTGCGCCGCCGCGTCACGATGAGGCGGNCGACCACCTCCGTCACGAAGCGCACCATGTTCTCCAGCTTCGACGCGGTGCGGCGCAGGTCGCCGATGAGGAAGTCTCGCCGCTTCGCGTAGTACTCGAGGCGCACCAAGTAGAACTCCTTCAGCACCGCCTCCGCATCGAGGTACTTTGTGATCTGCCCCTCCCTGTCAAAGGCAATGATGTTCGTAGCATGAATGTACTCACGCAGCTGCAGCTTTTCCTCAAGGCAGCCCTGCGCGAGCCACTGCCGCAGCACATCGGGATGTAGGAAGACCTCGAAGTCTACCGTCACGTCGGTGTTGTGCTCGCGGTACTGCACCACCACCTCCTTCTCGCGAAGCTCCTCGAGGAACTTCTTGTACGACTGCGTCCATGTGCCAATGGGCAGCTCTGTGATGCTCACGATGCCGTCGGGGCGCACGGTGGCACGCCCCACAGAGATGAACTTCCCCTTTTCCTTCTCAACAATCTCGCCGGTGAATCCAAAGTACCACGGCTTCATGGGCTGCAGCTCCTCCCCAGACAGCAGCCGCATCAAGTTGTCGATGATCTCGAGCGGCGAGTAGCTGGGGATGTTCGTCGCGAAGCCCGTCCCGATGCCGGAGGTGCCGTTCACCAGCACCATTGGGATCACCGGCACATAGTAGAAGGGTTCTACCGACAACCCGTCGTCATCCTTGTAGTCCACGACGTAGTCATCCGAGGGGTGGTAAATGTACCGCGCGATGTTTGCGAGGCGGGTGAAGATGTAACGGCCCGCAGCGTGGTCCTTGCCGCCCTGCAGCCGTGTACCAAACTGACCGTCCTGCTGGAGCAGCGGCACATTATTCGAGCCCACGAAGTCTTGTGCGAGGCCAACGATGGTCTGCACCAGCGACTGCTCGCCGTGGTGGTACGCCGCGTGCTCAGAGACGTAACCGGCTAGTTGCACCACCTTAATGGATCGCGTGAGGTTGCGCTTAAACGAGGAAAACATGATCTTGCGCTGTCCGGGCTTCAGCCCATCCACAACGCTCGGGATGGAACGCTCACAGTCAGCCACTGAGAAGAGAATAAGCTCCTTGTCAACGAACTCTGAGTATGACACTGTCTTCACGTTGTAGTTCATCGTCTCGTTGGGGTTGGTGTTGGCCTTGAAGTGTGTAATCCACTGCTTGCGCTCCTCCACCTTGTCCTTTGAAAAGGCCATGACGATGCGTGAGTCGTCGTGCACGTCCTCGTGCACAAAGTCAAGGCGGTGGCGGTCGATGTTCTCAAAGTACTCACGACCCTCCTTTGCGCCAGATGTACCGAGACCCTTGTAGTAGCGCACCTCGTAGTTCTTTATGCCATCCCCAATGGCGTTCTTCCACTCAAAATAATCTGGCATCGAGAAGAAGGAGATGGCCCGCTCGTCGTTGGCGGCTCGGCCCTTCTTACGTGCCTTCACGATGGGTGTGATGAACTGCTGCAGGAACCCTGGCGTCTTGAGCAGGTCCGGCCAGAAGTTGTGGATCATGTTGATGATGAGGCCTTTAATGTGGGAGCCGTCGTGGTCCTGGTCGGACATAATCATGAGGTGCCCGTAGCGCAGACCCTCCACGCTGTTGTACTTCTGCCGTATGTCGAGCCCCATAATCTTACTCACCGCCTGGAACTCAGCGCACGCCATCACTTTCTTCAGCGTCGCGTCACGGACGTTAAGCGGCTTGCCGCGGAGCGGAAAAACACCGAAGTAGNGAACTCAGCGCACGCCATCACTTTCTTCAGCGTCGCGTCACGGACGTTAAGCGGCTTGCCGCGGAGCGGAAAAACACCGAAGTAGTCACGGTCCTTTACCGCGAGTCCGGCGGTACAGAGCGCCTTGGCGGAGTCTCCCTCGGTGAGGATGAGGGTGCATCGGTGACCGTACTTCCCACCCGCCTCGTTGGCGTCGTCAAGCTTCGGGATGCCGAGGATCTGCTTACGGTCCGCGTTGCGCAGCTTCGACGCGATCTCGCGCGTGAGTTTGCTGTTCGCCATCTCCACTGCACGCTCCACGATGCTGGACTTGAGGATGCAGTCGACTATCGCCGCGGGGAGGTCACAGGTGGAGCCAAAACGGGCTTTCGGGGTGTTGAGTGTCTCCTTTGTCTGCGAGTCAAAGCCGGGGTTCTCAATGAGGCAGTTGATGAACACGAAGAGGTGCGGCCGAATCATGTGCGGCTTCACCTCCGTCTTGCTCTTGCGCTTCGCCTGTTCCGTCACCTTGGTGATGATCTGGTCGGTAATGTACTTCACATGCGTTCCGCCCCGCGTGGTGGCGATGGAGTTGACGAAACTCACCTGCTGGAAGCCGATGTTCGACACACGCACGCACACCTCCCAGCGATCATTCACACGCGCGTAGCTTGCCGCTTTGCGCTCCTCGCCCATTGTGGGGTACAAGTCGACGTACTCCACGAAGGAGCAGCAGGCGATCTTGGTGTCGTTGAGGTAACAGCGCAGCGACTTGTCGGTGCAGCCCGCAACGTCGTAGACGCGGCGATGCATCATGTACAGCATGTCCTCGTTGAATCCATCGAGGTTGAACTTCGCAAAGTCGGGGTAGAACGTCACAANCGCGGCGATGCATCATGTACAGCATGTCCTCGTTGAATCCATCGAGGTTGAACTTCGCAAAGTCGGGGTAGAACGTCACAACAGTGTAGTCGGGCCCCTCACACGAGGTGATGACGGGCTCTTCACTCTCCAGCATGTTGTTGCGCCACCGCATGAAGAACTTCTTGCGGGAGCGGCTGTGGACTGTCTCCACCTCGAAACGGGAGGAGAAGACGTTTGTCAGCTTCGCGCCGAAGCCGTTGCGACCGCCGGTTACCTTCGCCTCCGTGTCGTCGTAGTTGGACGATGTGAGCAGGTGGCCGAAGATCATCTCCGGAACCCACAGGTCGTGCTCGCGGTGCCGCTGCACGGGGATGCCCTCGCCGTTGTTGTACACCCGCACCATTCCCCGCGCCGCGTCAATCCACACCTTGATGACCGTCTGCCCGAGCGGGTCCCTCACCTTGTTGTCCGCTGCGTTGACGAGGATCTCGTCGAAGATCTTGTACAGGCCCGGCGTCCACGTGCACTTGCGCAGCTTCATGATGCTCTCCGCCTCGTCGTAGACCCACATGTCGTCGGTGACCGGCTCAATGGTGCCGATGTACATATCGGGGCGGGCGAGAATGTGCTCATGCTGCGTCTTCTTCTGGTAGATCTCCTCCACGGTCCGCTTCGACATCGTTGCGTCGGGAACTGTAGGTTTTAAATCTCTCTGTCTGTCGGTCGGTCGGTCAGTCTGTGTATGTATGTGTGTTTACGGCTCTCTCTTGGGCCGATTAACTTCTATTCTTCGTGGTCTATGCGCCGTCTACAGATGGAGTGTCTGTGTGTATGCGTGCGCCCCTTACCGCTCAGGGGGGGNGGGGGGGGGGGGGAGGGTGAGAGGCGATCACCTTTTATGTTTATATATTGAGGGAGAGGGAAGCCCCTTTGTTCTTAAGACGTAACGGATCGCTTGATTCAACAATAATAGAAATGGAAATAGAAAGCATGGCATTCGAGCACAACAACGGCCGTAATGGTAAAGGGAAAAGATTCCCCATGAGCCCTGCACATATGTGAAGTGAGAAATATGCACACCAACACAGACACAAACTTATTGTACAACCTCACGCCTCCTTCGCCTAGCGCTGTCCCTTCTGCTGATGTTGCTGCTGGCGAAGTGACGTAGACGACGTTGCCCACGCCACACCGCCGCGACTCGTCAGCAGCGCTGCGTTAAACTCCGCGCGGCTGAGGTCCTTCGCCTGCTGCTTCGCCTTGGCGTACTCGCGACGCACAAAAGCAACGGGTATCACGAGCCGCAGACTTCGGTCCTCGGCGTTGAGGTGCAGTAACCCCATGTGGAGCAGCGTCCGCAAGACATCCGCCTTCTCCAGTTGTGCCTGATGCGCAATCTCGCATACACTCATGACTGCCACCGTGTCTGCGTCGTCCTCTGCGGCGTTGTTGCCGCCGCTGCTGCTGCTGCTGCTACCGGCGCGTGGTCGCTTTGTCCTGCGACCCAGCTGTGTTGCCACGACCGACACCGCCTCCTCGTCGCTGGTGTTGTCTTCAATTACGGTAGCAGCCGCGGCGGTGTCGGTGAGGAGTTTGTGCATCCACGTTATGAGGACGCGGCGCCAGTAGCGGTCATACGCAGAGGCGCCCAAATCCGAGAGTGGCTTCTCCGGTGACCCGACGTGTTTTCTGCGGTACGCGAGCTCGTAACTTGCGGCAATCATGAACTGCCCAAAGTGGCCCAGTCGCGGTTTCTGGGCATCGTGCTGCTGCGCCGCCCCACCTGCAAAGCACGGCAGTGTGACGATGCACGCCAGATTGTTGTCGGCCACCTGTTTCTCCCAGGTGAAGTAGCCAGCAAAGTACATTGCCGTGGGGTCATCCACGTACTGAGGGAAGTGCCGCTGGTGGAGGCAGACAATGTAGAAGTAGTAGTTGTGAACATCGTGCCCCGCCAGCTTGTTCTCGAGGAATGACTTGCCCAAGAGGAATAGGTGGCGGCAGTACGTCACCTGTCGGCCGCCGTTGACTTCAAACATGGAGAATCCACGCGCCTCGTCACGATAAATCTCTTGACCCGGTGGCCGTAGCCGTCCTGAGCGGTACTGCAGCGTTTCATAACGCATTTGCTCAAAGGTGCTGTAAATGCGGAGAGAGAACGGACAGAGGTAGGCGTCGCGGATGAACGGATTTCGGCTTGTCACCACCAACCCGAGTTGTTGTTGCAACTCGCTGCTGCCGCTGCTGCTCGGTGCCATCGGATCGTACTCGCCGTGAAAAATACCGTAGGGCGCGTAGTACCACGGAGCAAAGACAAAGTTACAGAGGTACACAAAGTTTCGAACTGTCGTGGGTGTGCGGCAGTCACGGAGGAGACGCTCCTCAAAGAAGTCAAGCTGCTTCTCCTCGCGGCGCGTGCGGACCATCCCTGGGGTCACTTCACAGTACACAGAGCTCAGGACTGGTCTGTTGATGCGACTCGTTATCGATGGCTGTGGGGATCCGCAGTCTGGAACGGTGTTACCGCAGCTGCTGGTGATAGCGGTGGTGTTATTGTTAGTATTGCTGCTGGTGTTGTTACCATTGCCCCTCGACTCTTTCAACTCAATATCCTCAAGTGGAAACCAGCCACTTAGGCGGTGGTCCACATCCTTCACGCGCACGAAGCCGTAGAGCGGCGGCGGAAGCAATGCGTGGACATCAGTGCCGAGCAGCGCCGGCGTCCAGAGGTAGCGCACCTCTAGCAGTTGTCCACGCTTCACGCTGGCGTCTGCCCCACGCACGCTGCAGGGGGTCCCCAACAGCGACTGCAGACGTCCATCCTGCTCAGCGCCATTAGTGTTGTTGCTGTTGCTATTCATGTTATTATCATTGTTCATCTGCTTTACGATCGCCCTGCCGCTGTGGCGCTCCTGGCATTCACCATGCACTCCGCACTTTGGTGTCCAAAATGAGGAAGGAGAGCGAGGGGGGAAAAAACAACAAGACAAGAGGCTTTTCAGAACAACAGCCGCCGCAGCAGAAGTATGTGGTATAAACAGGAAGAAAGCGCAATAAGGAGAAAAATGTGAATCAGACAACCTCGCTCTCTCTCTCTCTCGGGTCATCTTCGATAGAAGCCCGAAATGTCAGTGGCCACGATTAATATGAGAGAACACACACGCCGTGCTGGTGGATTGAGGCATCGCAGGGAGAAGAAAGGGCAAAAAAAAGGAAGGGGAACGGCACGGTGCCACGGGAACAGCCTCCCTCCAGCACGAGAAACCCAAAAAAAAAAACTAAAAACGAAGGTGGTATGAAAGAGTTTCACGAATATATTTTGTGTAATAGAAATGCAGACTGCAGCAACTCAAAAGGGGAAGGAGACGTGGTCCAGCCGTGCGAAGTGTGCCGCCAGCCGCTCCTCCATCTT